GAAATCCTGATCAAATGACATTATTCTAATCGCTTTCTACAATGAACTTCGAATAAGAAGTAATTTATATACACAAAAACATTAATGGCGCAATAAATGTTGCGAACTCATTCAAAATCCTCAATCTCGAGTCTTCCATATTTTCTATATATCTGCCAGCGTAAATCCTACTTTTCAATGTCCCGCATAGAAAATTGTCCAAAATAGTAAGATCTGGTGATCTTGCAAGCCATCTTGTTGTCTCGAATGGATGGACTCCAATTCGAACATTCATTGCGCCATTAATTTTTTTGTGTATATAAATTACTTCATTTCCATTTTCATTACAATTGTAGTGTTCGTTTCAGATGTTGTTATTGCTATCATTTCTTTTCTGCCTATGAAAACATATATTTTTGATGTAGATATATTTCAGATATTAGTCGTAAAAGGTTTTCTTATTCGAAGTTCATTGTAAAAAAGGCTCAGAGTAATGGAAAAAATATGAATAGGTAACTAAAAATGAAAAAAAAAACACTCGAAAAACTGTACGGTACATAGGGAGACGTGAAAGTTGCTATTGTGTTTTTGTTCAACTCAGTCAACCACACATACCTAGAAAGTCGTAGGTCTATGCAGGTCTATTGTTTTCTAGTTTTGAGGTTGGGAATTATAATGTTTCCCTTCATTAATAGTTGAGTTAATGTTGATGATGAATCTCTGTGTAATGAGGCATAAGTAGCTGTGTAAACGAAGAACAAAATCAATCAATTATAATACTTTTAATATTTTTTATTTTTCTGATCGAGTTCCACGACTGATATATTCGGAGAACTACCATCTTCATCATTCTCTTCAACACTATTCCAAGGCTGCACATCTCCGGATCCAAAAATGATATAGAATATATCAGCCAACAAATATAGACCTGCTGTCACGAGAAATATTGTTCTCCATTGTGACTGATTGCTCTGTAAGGAAATAAAAACAATATCAATTTGTTTATTTGCTGAAATGACATATATGAGACGAGAAAACTCAAAGTGAAAGTAGGTATTAGCAAAATAGGGTGTTCAGAGAAATTGTTGACTTGGACAAACTTACGAATCAACTGTAGCCGACCAGGCTCTCAACCAAGAAGGCATTTCCATCATATCATTCGAAGATACCGATAAAACTCAAAAATTCTATCCGAGAATATATAGAGAGAAAATATAAATTTAAAAACACAGGACTAATTTCAATAGAAAAGAAGAGGCAACGAACATTTAAAAAATCTGGCTACCTGTCCTTAAAGGTATACAAACAAGGTCAGGCAATTCGACTGATTTCATCCAACTTCGTTTCGTTTCATCCTAAGAAATAGAGTTTTTTTCAAGGACAGAACAAAAGCACTAGAGGAAAATCCTCAATACGCTCTTAGAGCGGTGCCTGTGCGAAAGTAGGGATTCACATTGAATTTGGATCGCTGGAGAT